GTCAGCGCAGTTGGTATATCTACTTATTTAATTCATCTCTCAAAAAATTTCTATTTTCAACTGAATTTACAGTTTTATTCACTATTTTTTTCTTGTTTATACATTCACAGTGTAAAGGTTACTACACGTGTAAGTTTTTATAGAAATTTTATAAAAAATAACTTAACAATTAAATAACGTATATTTGAAAATTATATTCATCAGGTATCATCAGTGTTGGATTTACAGTAGGGTCAATCGGGGCTACTGCCCAGGGCGTCAAATTTTGGGAGGCGGCAAAATTTGGATAGTGAGAAAAAAAATCTATACAATATGATCAACTTTTTTTAACAAAATTTTTTATTTCAAGAAATATAATTAACAAAACATAATACGATTGCAATGCAAAATTTGGGTTGAAATAAACGATAACTAAAATTTATTATTTTGCCTTGCCTGCCTCCGAACGTAAATTATCAAATTGGTTAATTAGTTATCAAATTTGGCAATTTGGCTAATATAAAGATCCGTAAACAAGCTGAAAGTTTAAGAAAAATATGTTCTTCAGTTCTCGAGCCCTCTTAAAATGACGTATTTGTGCACTTCCAAGCTTATAGCGTCGAAAAAAAAATTAAACTAGACTCATGGCATTGTGCCTTAAGACAAATTTCTTAAACATCCCGTACTGAAAATTACATTTTATAAAGAGCTTTAAATTTTATTGAAAAATGAACAAAAAAGACTTCTAAAACACATTTTTTGTATTTTGAAATTTTTCGAAAATTATGAACTTTTTGCTAAGAAGAGAAGAAATATCGAAACTCAATTACCATTTTTCGTAATTGCCTGTACCAAAAGCTAATCAGCACGTCTCCCCATCAATACAAATCTAATATTTTTTAATTATTCAAGTCGATTTCGAGAACACGGATCAACCGATTTAAATGATTCCATTCCTATTGATAAGGAGACGTGCTGATTAGTTATTGGTCAAGGCAGGTCCAACTGTTTTGAAGATACGGGCAAAAATGCCAAAAATGATGATTCAGTTTTTGAGAAAAAAGCGTTCAATAACATTAAAAAAATTACAGAATAAATAACTGCTTAAATTTATGGGGGGCAAGTTTAGCGGTTTCGATGATCAAAAAAAAAAAATTTGAAAAAGAAACATTTGGCGGACAAAAGTGATCATAAGACATATGCACATTAAATTATCAGATATTTTAAAGATATTATAATAATAAGTATACCTTTTGTTTACATTTATATAAGTTTTGTAACTTTGTTTATCCGTTAGACTGCGACGCGGAGCTTACGCGCTTCTATATTTTGTCCCTCGCAGCTGAAGCAGCGCGATTGCTTTAAAAAAAAGTTCGAAAGTTCGTAAAATTTCAGGGATAGGGCGGCATTTTTGTCAGTGCCCCGGGCGCCAAATTTCTAAATCCGGCCCTGGGTATCATAAACTAAATTAGGAAGCACAGAAACACAAAATAACTTACTACGAAAAAAATACGGTTGTTATAATTATTGATACATGTCCGTTTTTCTCTTGATAGCTTCTAACTCTACCTTATATAATATATATATAATATAATATATAATATAATATATATATATATATATATATATATATATATATATATATATATATATATATGTTATGAAAAACTTTAGAAATTTGTAATGGCGACATATAAAACATCTGTGCTTTTACTTTAATTATTTCCAAGTGTAATACTATATTACTAGATAAAGCTTTTGTTGAAGTAAAAGAAGATAATGAAACATGTATAACTACAGTTTCTTAACGGTAATAATGCATTACGATATCATTATTTTACAGTGAATAAGTGATATCTTACAATGAATAAGTGATTGAGTCAAATTTCGGCCAAAACGTCTCAAGTCGCGGTATTAACTACTTCTCTGAAAATAGTTAATAAACTGAAAAAAATATTGGTTGGAAACAAACTTTATATAAAATTTAAACGATTAATTCAAACATGCGATATTACACAAGTAATAAAACTTTGAAGCCAAAATTTGTGGAAATTGTGATTATTAATTTAACCACTTATGAACTGGAATGGCAGATATAGTATAATTTTTTTATATATAAAAATGGAGCTGTCTTTCAAATGTCCGAATAAAACTCGAAAACGGCTGAATCGATTTGGCCAGTCTTTGTCTTGAAAAATTTGTGCCAATCCAGAGATGGTCGGAAAGGTGAGAAATTATTTCAAATCCGCGTAGAAACTTTACATTTTTAATTTGAAAATTTTTGTAGAAGCGTAATTTAAATAAAACAATGGGCGGTGGCAATTTCGTGAAATGTCAAAAGCTTTTGACAGATGATGTTCAATTACGTTTTAAGTAGTTTTGTTTGTAGTTTTATTTATATACAAAACGTTAGTAAACGGGCCGCAAGTGTTACTAGAGACTCAAAATATAAACTTTTTTGATATGTTAATATGCAAATGCACTTTTTGGCATATTTTTCTCAAACACGGTGCTCTGAAAGATCTCATTTGTATAATTATATACTCATTGGTATTTATGAAACATTTTCTAGGTTATATTATTTTTTATTTATCTTATTTAAATTCAGAACCTAAATTTGGTATCGATCAAATGGACATTTTGTCGAATAACATTTTTCCAGTTATAATTTCCCAGAATTTATCGCAGAATAGATAGTAATATATGAAGGTCCGGGATTAAAAAGGTCCACCACCGATGTGCCAAAAATCAGTAAAGTTAAGCATTGTTTAACAACAATATTTGAAAGTAGAGGAAAAGAGATGTATAGCCAGCTACGAACTTGATTTGAAAACGATAATCTTTGAAATGGGGGAGATAAACGGTAATCTTTGAAAATCCATAATAATTTTTATTTATATTGTATTTTCTTCCGTCGGTAGTTTTAGCATTAGTTAAAAATATAATTATTTTGTAAAATACCTTTAAAATTATAATAAGGCTTTAACTCTTTTGCCACCTGCCCGTTACAAGTTACCCCGCATATAGGATAAAAAGGTCTAGATAACAAATTTTTGGAAGACATGAAAAAAGCACATTTCTACAATGATGGAGTAGAAGTCAGTTTACTGAACGTAGTCAGATAATGTTCGTTTGATGACTTATTTGTTGTGATATAATTGTTATGGTTTTCACAATATAGTTTATATTTGCTCAATGTTAAATTGGACCTTTGTGTCTCGCCTTGCTCTACATATATACTTTTTATTAAATTTACGTTAATTCATCGAATATAACTTGAAACTTTTCAAAAAGCAGGTCAAAGAAAAAATACTTAATTAATTTTTTATCTCTCCTCGCAAAAATTTGAAAATTTGTATAAGCTCAGTAGTATTATTTACAATTATACACAAAATCTGGAATCCAAAAAGAATCTGAAAAACTTGAAACGTAATTAATAAGCCCAAAGGCCAAAAAGACTCGGATTGGATTATACGATGTTTTCTATAGAAAGTGTATAAAACTTGCAGTTTGATTGTATTGACAAAATATAGACAAACTAATGGGGTTTATTGTTTTTATAATACCTAATTGTATACAGCATTCAAACAACACATCCTTATGCACTTAAAGTATTAATATTTTTGATGCTCTAGAAATGGTTTAGAATATACCTTATTCAGCAAAACAACGTTTGCCGGGTCAGCTAGTATAATTTATAAAAACGCAATAAATATAAATAGCGTTTAGTATATTTTCCCGCTTATACAAAAACATGCACGCCGATTTAATCAATTTCGATATATTTACGTATAATGGATACACCGTAACGCTACGTTATCATCCGGGCGTGAACCCATCGAGTCCGCGACACCTCCACGGTGTGAACTCCGGGCGCCCGGAAAGCGCTGTGCAGAAAGCGGCAAAGCAAAGAAAAAACACATCAGAAGCCGTGACTCCGCAGAAAACGCCCCTCGTCCAATAGGCACGGGTCTAGGTGTGGCCCCGTTAGGCTTGCGCGAGTTGATATTTTCGGTAACAAAATGGTACAACCGCCAAGAGCAAGCGACGACGAACGGCGCAACTGTATACACATTTTAACCGCCGAGGATCAGCCACTCCATTGGCGGAGAGAAGCCGGATTTATCCCACCAGGATCCGTATCGACCACTTATTCTGGGGAGGGATGGATATTGTACAATGTGTACAATATGCACAATAAACGCGCGACCCCCTCCATGGCGACATGATACGCTATTGTGATATTGTGTATTACAAAGTTTCGAGAAGATCCCAGCCAAAGCATTGCTCTCGCGACAGTTATACAGATTGTTAACAGAAAGCTCTGTTACAAAACGTTTTGAAACCGAATAAGACGTGTTTTTGTGTCCAAAAAAGTGACCAGTTTTATTGTTAAGTGATATTGTTCAAATATAAAAGAAATTTCTAATAATTTTCTAAGTGATTGTTAAAGACTGACGAACTTATTCATGGTAGTGAATTAAAATACTTAAACGTAATTCATTAAACTAATTTACAAATTATTTTTAACTATGAAAAGTTAAGATATTAATTTCTCAACCAATGTGCTTAAAGATTGAACATCAGATTAAAAAAAATTAAATTAAAATGAAAGGAGATTAAAGAGAATTAAATTAAATTATAGAGATTAAAGAGAATTATTTTTTTCCCAATTTTGATCCTTAATTAATTAATTAATTAAAGAGAATTAATTTTTTCCTAATTTTGAATTGGCATAAACATATGTGACCCGTGCGATTGACAATGATTAGATAACTGATACAAGTGATGTTTATTATATTAATTCAGTGAAATATTTTAGAACAAAAATTATTCAAAAAACATACAAACAATTTTACCAATTTAGTGAACAATTGTACTGTAAACTAATATGATAAATCCTTCCAAATTTTCTATAAAAACACACTCAAAAAATCCAAATAACTAAAAATATCTGAACCAACAATATCAATTAATTAATTTTACTATCTAATTACCCCGGTACAAATATTTTTTTTACCATGTCCTTGCCAAGTGGCGTGGACGTGAGTGCCCTCATGTCTCAGCACGCGGTTTTGGGCGGTTTACCACCCGCGTTCTTCTTGCGCGCTTCCGAGAGGTACCAGAGGACGCCGAAATGCGCCCGCTGCCGAAATCACGGAGTCGTGAGCGCTTTGAAAGGACACAAAAGATATTGCCGGTGGAGGGATTGCGTTTGTGCTAAATGCACCTTGATCGCGGAAAGGCAACGAGTCATGGCTGCACAGGTAAATAACAAATAGATCGAATTTATTTATAGGAAATGGATTTAGTTAAGTCGTTTTACAATCCTAACAAGAGCCTGTTTATTTCCCGTCACGGACAACCGATATCGAGCAGAGGCAATATCTATCATCACTTGAAAATACACTGGAGCCTCGCTTTACGGCCGAGATACGTTCCGCGAGACTTGGCCGTAAAGCGAAAAGCCGTATAACGAATCAATTATTCTAATACGTATTCATACAAATTCAATGGGATCGGTTCCAAATTTAAGAAATATATAATATGGTTTATCATTCAAAATGCATTTTATTTTTTTATTTTGTTTAAATTATAAACAAATTTAACAAGAACATAAATTTTACATAAAATAAAAAACTTCAAAAACATTACATAATTTTCAATTAAAAATGAAACAACTAAAACCTACAGATCACTGTCACCATCATTTTGCGCTGGTGGTTTGAAAAATTGGTCTAAAGTTGTTTGTCTTGCCTTCTTGTCTATTTCTTCCTTTAGTGATTTATTATTATTATTATTATTCCCTTGTTCAAAATATGAAAAAGCGCTCGACATGATTTTTGATGTTAGCTGTTTAGATACAACAGGTTCTGTATCTTCATCAATTGCCGGCTCAACTTGCAACTGAATGAGTTCCTCATATGAAAGAGGTTCCCTATCAGCTGCAAGTAGATGCAGCACATCAGATTCGTTTAAATCTTCAAAACCGAGATTGCGCAATATATCGACAAAGAGAAAAAAAGCCGTTATAGCAAAACATTTTAGGCCGTATATCGAAAACGTTCCTTAATTAAAGAGGGCCGCTATATCTAAAGGCCGTATAAAGAGCGGCCGTATAACGAAACCTAATACATCTTAAATATATTTCCAAGTGAAAATAGACCTTCAATATTTAAAAAAAACATTGTCTTTGACAGAATAAACCTGATGATGGAACGTATCTAGCTCCGAAACGTCGTTATTAAACATCTTCAAAAAAAACAAATTGTTTTTATTATGGATTTATTTAAGTCGTTTTACAATCTTAACAAAAGCCTATTTAATTCCTCCCACTGATATCGAGCAGTGGCAATGTCTATCATCACTTGAAAATATACATCTTGAATATGTTTCCAAGTGAAAATAGACCTTCAATATTTTAAAAAAACAATGTCTTTGACAGAATAAACCTGATGATGGAACGTATCTAGTTCCGAAACGTCGTTATTAAACATCTTCAAAAAAAAAAAACAAATTGTTTTTTATTGTGGATTTATTTAAGTCGTTTTACAATCTTAACAAAAGCATGTTTAATTCCTCCCACCGATATCGAGCAGTGGCAATATCTATCATCACTTGAAAATATACATCTTGAATATATTTCCAAGTGAAAATAGACCTTCAATATTTAAAAAAAAACATTGTCTTTGACAGAATAATCCTGATGATGAAACGTATCTAGTTCCGAAACGTCGTTATTAAACATCTTCAAAAGAACAAATTGTTTTTTATTATGGATTTATTTAAGTCGTTTTACAATCCTAACATGAGCCTGTTTATTTCCCGTCACGGACAACCGATATCGAGCAGTAGCGATATCTATCATCACTTGAAAATATACATCTTGAATATGTTTCCAAGTGAAAATAGACCTTCCCGAACACTGCTGCGTCAGATTGATTATTATATCAACCGCATTTGATAAATTCTAATATTAAAATAATCAAATATAAATAGACCAACCGTATAGTTACCATCTAAAATCAACGCAAGAAGTTTCTGCTCAACAGCTCATAGGACGTAATAATTGCTGTTAAAATATGAGTAAAAAAGCTTTTTTTGATATGGTATTAATTTCAATATTTATCCTATTCTTTGTTGATTTTTTTTTTAATTATTTTTGAACAGCAATCAGAACCTTACGTCCTATGAGCTGTTGGGCTGAAACTTCTCCTTCCTTCGTATTTTTTTAGATAGTAACCCAATGGCTAATCCATCCATATTTGATGATTTTGTTATTAGAATTAATCTAATAGGGCTGACTTTTTATTGGTGCAGCAATGCCGGGTGAGGGCTATTTTCACTTGGAAACATATTGCTATCTATATTTTCAAGTGAAAATCGTTGTCACTGCTGCCTGACAACAGGCTGCTCGAAGTGGGTATCAAACAAGGGACCTCTGATACAAGTCCCGTCGCTCTTAACCGCTTACCTAAGGGCGAGCCCCTTTGTTGATATGAAACTGTTTTATAATATTTTCGAATTAAATAGTCTTTTAAATAATGTTTTTATAATCATTGCACTGTTTTAATTTTATGTTATATAAATGCATTTAAAACTATATCTTTAGTTCTAATCTGATAGTTTAAATTTAGTTCAAGAACATCTACTTTATTCAACGCTTATGATATGTTTACCTGTTGTTAAGAACTATTATGTGTTTATTATAATATTTTATGTTTAACGCATGTTGATTAAAATATGTTTGTAATTAAATCTCGTATGTTGGTACCATAATTAATATCTCTTCACTGTATAATTATATTACTTTACATTATTTATATTGTAATATTGCAATGCCTTAATTTTATATTACAATTGAGCATTCAAAACTATGCCTTTAGTTATCTAATCTAAGTACTAACTAATCTTATAGTTCAGTTGAACATATGAATACTATTATTTTCAGCACTTATAACATTTATATTTGCACAATTAATTTACTTTAGGTTCTTTAAAATTCACGAAAACTTTCACAATTCATGATAATGTAAAAGCTTGATCTGCTGATTAAAATTATCTTTAAATGTATATTTTAATTTATTTTATTATAACTCATTGTTTATATTGAATTCTATTAGTTTATGGACAACATTTTGAAAATTCCGAAAGAAATGTCTTTTAACAATAATAAGATTCGGAAAAAAGAAAAATTGAAAATGATCGAAATTGACAAGGCAATAGCATTGATGTGATGAAAAATAATGAATGTAATTTAATACTGCAACAAATATAACAAATATTTGTAATGTAAATTAATGTAATAATTAACTTCCCGTAGGGTAGTTATAGTAATGGGCTGAAAATCGAAAGTTTTGAAGGTTTCTGAACATTTTGGCATACCTCAGAAAAAATTGATGTGTGTGTGTGTGTTTTGTATGTCCGCATTTTTTCGTCCACGTTTTCGGGCGCACGGATCAACCGATTTGAATGGCTCAAAAACATTCGATTCCTATTGATAGGGAGATGTGCTGATTTGTTTTTCGCAAAGGCAGGTCCAGTTATCACAGAGATACGGAACAAAGAGTGCAGAAAATACAAATGGAGTTTTTGAGAGAACGGAGTATCTGATTTGAATAATCTAAAAAAACATTCAACTTGTAAGGATTGGGAGAAGGGGTGATTAGTTTTTAGCAAAGGCAGGCCATTTCGTGGATACAGAGCTAAATGTGCAAAAAATGACAGTTTTTGAGAGAACTAAGCGTCCGATTTGAATTATTCAAAGAACTTTCTGCTTGTTTCAACAAAATAATTGCCTTTGGAAAAAAACATATTTTGTTTCTAATTTTAAAATTTTTTTTTTTTTCATTTTTTTTTTTGTATATTGAAAATAATTCAGATTTTAATTTTAATTCTGTTCTAATATACTTTAAACAAATAATTTTAACTTTGCAATTCAGTTTATATAATTCTTATAAATATTAAACAATGTTACAATATTTATAAAAATCTATTTGAAAACATTTAATATTCCTCGAACATTTCGTTACGGTACGGGAAGTTCTAGCAATTTGCCTTAAAGCACGATGCCATACACCACTAGTTTATTAATGCAATCTAATTTGTTGCAATGTATGTAAAACAAATTAATAATCGTGTGTAAGTTTAAAAATTACTCGTTCTTATCATTTATTTGAACAGCGATCAGAACTTAAGGATTTACTTGAACTTTTGTGATAATTTATTGACCTATTCTGCCCCAAATTAGACAAACGTTGTGGCAATGGCTATGTTACGTATCGCTTCTTATACAAAATGGTAAAAATACCGTCAAAATGCTACTTCACGCATATGTTACTAAGCCATATCACAAATATGCAGTTATGATACGATTGTTTTTTTTAATGCTTGACTGCACAGCAACCACATGACATATGGACAGTATTCAGTACCATCTTGTATGAGAAGCATTACGTAACAGCCCATTCGTAGCATTGGTCTATTTTACGGCGGAATCGAGCCCTTACTAATTACGTAGCTTTATTATAGATTTACCTGTTCCCGTCTCCATGTAATCAACTGTAATAGTGTAAAACTAAATATAATTTTTGATTCAATTACAGGTTGCTCTGCGCCGGCAGCAAGCTCAAGAAGAAAGCGAGGCGCGCGAGCTCGGTCTGTTGTACACAGCCGGCGGAACTGGTACGACAGGGTCGCAATCGCTCACAGGGCCCCAGACGACGACCGTGCCGTCGGTGCCCCCTACTGCAGGAAACGTATCGCCAGTGAGGGACTCAGTCAACGTATCGCCGAGTTTGAAATACCCGACACACAGTGAAACTCAACGTACAGAGTACCAAAGTTCGGAACACGATAGCGAACCTCCCAGCCCAGGTAAGAAAGAAAATGACACAATTATTTTATTAACTATATATATTAACTTCCCGAAGTAGAAGTTGTTTTCGCCAACAAATCCGATTTGCTAATTTTATGTTTTCACGGCGTTTTAAGTCATTCCAAAGAAATTGAGACGGAATTAGTAGAAAGTATGTGTGTGTATGTGAGCCAATTTTTCAATCTTTCGTCCACGTTTTCTCGTAAACGGCTGGATCGATTTCAATTTTTTTTTTAAATTGATTGGATGTGATTCAATAAGGACTCACTTAGCTAGTTTTGTACAAAACTAAGCTGAACAGTTTGTTAGCAATTGGCATAAAAAAGTGAAAAAAATTCGTCTTAGTACGAAAATCTGAATTGATATAAAAAATTCAGAAACTGCTCGAAAAATATTGTTCGCGTTAATTGGTTTTTCGTAAAGATTCACCAAGCCATTTCTACGAAATTAAAAATTAGACATTTTCTTTCACGATTTTGATAAATTTCCTTATGATGATAGAGGTCATGGCCATATCAAAGATACTAAAATTCTATGAATCCATCACGACTAGTGGTGTAATTTTAAAAAATCATTTATGTTTGAAAACATATGATTGTCCAAAGTTTTATCAAAAGTCGTTTTTGCAATGTGCTGAGTCAAAATTTGAATTTTGTCATCGTTTTCTCAAAACCGGCTGAACAAATTTGACAAATATTAAAGCCATTGAATTAAGGGACACAACTAGTGTGAAATTTTCAAAAAATCAATTTTTCCATATTTCGATAGGTTATACCTTTAAAAATAACATACCAAAATTAAATCGATATCTTAAATAGTTTTTGAGTCACAGCCATTTAAAGAGTATATATAGTATATATTGGCAGTCCAAAAACGACCAAAATTTTGGGTAAAATTCGACTTTTTTTTAAAACGCAGCCATTTTGTAAATTTTTGATTTTTTTTATAGTAGGTCATTTTACAGACAACATTATTTAGTTTTACGAGATTTTTGTTTGTTAAATTTCATCCACGTAGAAGGCCGGAATCACTGCAGCAGTGAAGGGTCTTTTTTCGCGCCGTTGAAGATCGAGAATAACTCAAAAAATATTTAATTTTTTTCTTCAAAAATTTTACTATGTATTCTTAAAACATGTGTAAATATATTCTTAAAATTTTGAAATGATTGATAAAGTTTTTTTTAATATAAATTTCCAAAAAATACCTTTTTTTAAGCGGTTACACTAGCTGTGTTCCTTAATTCAATAAGGAGGATTCGTGATTAGGTTAGCGATTCCATCGGCCAAGACGTTTCTTTCAAATTAGCAAAAAAGTGCATTTTCGGTAACCAATTTCGCAAAAATCTTGTGATCTCAAGTTTATGGTTTGTCCATTGTCCACAGAAAATAATTAATATTTATCAAATAGATTCTTTATATCAGTGCCACCTGATGAGCAGTCTACAAAACTTCTCTAATTTTGTAAAAATGTTACCATTAGTTTAAAAATGATTAAATAATATCAAGAACTACACCTCATAATCGTAATCTTGCCAGATAGCAGATGCTTAATCTGTCACAAAATAATTTATTAAGTTGTTCGGGCGTTTTTAATGAAATTTAACAGTGCGACAAAGTTCATGCACTAAACAGACCGAAGCAAATTGGTTGAATTATATAAATTCAATATATTGAATAATGGGCGCTTTTAGGATATACAAGCACGTGTGTGTGTGCACTATAATTAATAAAATTGCAGATATTATGAATGTGTTTGAGAGATATCAATTAGAAATCGCATTGATTGGTTTCTAGTGAAAGCGAAAATTTTATTTTCAAAATTAACTGTTAAAATTTTTATTGATATCGCTAAGTCACAATTTGGGATGATTAAGTCAACTTGCCTTAAGATAAAATGCCACTTACGCCTAGTTAAATCTACATACAATTATTCTGTTTCTACAGTGAGATTTTTGAAGAATATAATAATTTTACATCTCGTACCATATGATATTCATTAGAATTATCTACCTCATCAGCGTTTTCATTAAAGCAATTTAGATTGACCCTTCCGATGCGTGGAATACTAATGTTTTGTAGGCGTTTTGTACGCCAACTCGTTTTATTATATTGTATTTCGTTCATAAATGGGGCGGAGAATATGACTCGAGATGGAGACATTTTAGCATTCTATCACGTTTATTTGCCGAATGCTGAGACAATTTTATTGGCAATAACCGCGAAGCGCTCATCAAGGAATTTGCTATAACCAGGGGATGGTTTCTCGTATGTACAAAGTGATAATAAATTATTTTGTCAATAAGATACTACATCTCGAAAATATTTAAATTTAAACTAGTTGGTATTGGTATTTTGCCTTAAGGCAAGTTACATGAACTTCCCCATATGTTTAAATAATCGACTTAATCAATAAAAAATAAATTAATTTATGAGTGATTAAAGTATGAAAACGAACGAACACGTTAACTCGGAATATTTTTTAAGAGCAAATTTTATAATTGAACCAGTTCAAAATAAACAACTTTTATAATTGAACCAGTTTCCGTAGGACTTTAATGGTTTAGTATGTTCATTAAGATCAAGTACTCTATCGTTATACCAAGTAAATCGTCCAATTTTATATTTAACACAGGTTAAAAAAACTACTTATTTTCTCAAACGTTGATGATTTTTTAAAATTAAACTACATGTTGTAAGACCGTTTCAGTAAGTTCTATAAGACCATGATATATATATTGCCAAAAAAGGTTCCATAAAAATCGGCTCAATTTTTTATTCAACAGTTTTTTACAAGAAAACGGCTCCGTAGATTTTAGATGATAGTCCTTATCGAGAAACATCAAATGGCTTTTAAATTTCTGAAATCGGTTCAGGCGTTTTTGAGAAAACGTCGATTTACGGCAAAAAATCTGTTCACATACACATTCACACACACACGTACTTTTTCCAAATTTGGTCTCATTCGATTCAGAATGGCTTGAAACGTCGAGAAAACATAAAATTAGCGAATCGAATTTTTTTATGAAAACATAAACTTCTCCTTCGGGAAGTTAATAAATATGAGTCAAAAGCAATTACCATTTTATGTTTGAAAATTTTCAGCAAATAGAACTATTACATTTTCTATAATGACGTTATTAGCAGATTATCCTTAATTAGATATTGCAGCAATGTTTTTCGTGTCCGATTATCCCACATATTGTTCTCATATATAATATAGTTATAAGGTAATATGCTAAACTAATTATTAGTTAAATTAATTCTACTAACTTACTGTATGTTCTTTTGTCTTTATAAGCCTTTATAAGTCCTTTCGCCCTATAATATAAAGCCGACAATATATCAAACGTCCTGATTCGTATCTAGATTTCTGTGAACCGGAACTTTGTAATCTTACTTGTGAATTGGATAAACTTTGCGATCAAAGAAAACAATTTGGAGTCGGTGTCAGCTTACCCTGGCTTTCCCCTCGATTTCCCGTTTTCCGTATGCGATACCGTGTAAGATCACGTTTGCCGGCGGTAGAGATTTCCCGACACGGGAATTGTGTTTCAGAAACTGAAGGAAATTGTACGAATTGCTAAAGTATAATTATTATTTATATATCACATATGTCAAATAACTGAGAGATTTTTTATTTCTGAAGTAAAGCAGAAGAAAACTCTATAATGCCTCTATAATTTAGTTATTTCAATTTTAATTACCTTGTACAAATTATTTAAAAAATCTAAATCGAAAGACCGATAATTGCTTCATTTCGTCAATGGACCAATTTATAAGTGAAAAATAAATATAGTTAAAAAATATAAAAATTGAAAAGTATGAAATTAAATTTGAGAAAAGTATATAAGTAAATTAAGAGCAGTGCTAAACTAAAAATAAAATCAAAATAAATGAGAGTAGAACAACGTAAATAAAGGAAATACTATCAGAATAAATTAAAATTAGGAAATTGATTCGTGCAAAGTAATATCAAAATAAAATTAGGAGCAGAGCATAAATTAGAATATCATCAATTAGGAGTAGAGCACTTAAATCAAAAAGTATACCACCAATTGAAACCTTACATTAAGAATCACAAATTATTCATGTACTTTATCTTGGGTTTTGCATAAAATTTGATATATCAATAAAATAATCTAATGCCAAATTTAACATACCTGAACTTTGATATAAAAAAATAATTTGATATATTTCTGAAGTAAATGTAAGAGAACCCTTAAATTCTTTCAGAACTTGTCATTTATAATTTAATTACCTTGCATAAATTATTTATTTTGAAAAATCTAAAATTTGTTTATGATCTGGAAGACAAATACAGTTAAAGAACACAATAGGATTGCAATTCTGTAAGGTTGGTTTTTTCAACATCTGCAGAAAGTGATTTATTCTGTTTGGATATTGATAATATCTGAAAAACATGAGTTTTTCAATCGATTTCACGAGTTTGCGAGAATACTTTTTATCTTAGTAAACTCCTAATTTAATGTTGATAAATACTTTCTTTGTTTAACATATTTTTTCTATATGCTTGTTATAAGAACTCATAAGAATATTAATTAATAAGTAATTAATTATTTCAATAATTTCATGTAAATTTATACGCTCATCTCTTTAATTCTAATTAAAATATAAATAAATTTAAGTTAATAAAATAAATCATATAACATTTTGTAAAATATTGTACTTTTTGTTAAATGCGCTTTCTATTACTACCCTGTTTCAATAATATGTCGAGATCGGATTATATCGTTGACACTTATGTAACAACGCTTTATATTAGAAGGTATAATATACATTCGACATCTGAAAAAACTCACAAAAAATCTCAAATGATTTATAGATTTATACGACGTCTTTTGTGCAACGCGATCCGGAATAATATTACAGTGTCAGTTCATCAGATTTCAGATGAAAAAATGTGTAATGAAACTTGCAATTAGATTAAAATAAATCTTTTGAAGATTGTAGGTCGTGTTATTTGCCGTGCTTTTGATATC